CCATTTCCATTCTGGAATTTAAATTGACTGGAGCAACCATCTTGGCCTTTCGTGTTCACCCTTGACTTTATGGCAAGTCAAACATTGCTTCACATAGTCTGCTATGTCCCTATTCATTCCGAACCACCAGAAACTCCCTCTAAGATCCATGTACATCTTGGTTGAAACAAGATGAAGCGTGTATGGAGTCTTGTGCGCCTCCTCAAGAATCTTCATCCTCAGCTCTGTCTTTGGGAACGAATAACCATCCCCTATACTTCAGCACTCCATCATCTGCTATGCTTAAACCCTCGCACTTCCCTCAGGGTCTGAATCAGGATCAAGGCCTTGCATGCAGTGAACATCATGAAAAAAAAGTCAGAGATAAGGTCATTACTGATAACTGTCCCACGACCAACCCAAACCATGGATGACATAGTTCCTCTCATAATCTTTCAACTGTCTTGAGGCATAGGCTATTACTTTCTCATCTTGCATAAATATAGCTCCAAGACCCATCTTTGACGTGTCACTATAGATCACAAAGCCTTCGTCACCTTCCAGAATTATCAAAATCGATACACTTATTAATCTCCTCTTCAAATCTTGGAAACTCTGCTTACGATTATCACTCCATTCAAACCTTTTCCCTTTCAAGTAGGTGTTGTTAGGGGCATAGTCAACTTGGAGAAACCTTCCACAAACTTTATATAGTATCTTGCTAATCCAAGAAAACATATGATCTCGTTAGCATTCCATGGACGGCTTCAGTTACATCACGCCATTCTTAGAGATCACATGGCCTATGATGCCACATTATCTAGACAAAGTTCACACTTTATGAATTTAGCATACAGTCAATGCCCTTTCAACATTTGTAAAACTATCCTCAAATTCTCGTTGTCCTTCTCTTAAGTCTTAGACTAGATATGGATATTATCAATTAACAAAATAACAAATTTATCAAGAAAATCCCTAAACACTTGGTCCATCAAGTCCATAAATGTTGTCAATGTATTCGGTGGTCTAAACGACATGCCATAAACTCATATTAATCATACCTACATCGAAAGGTAAACCTCAAAATATCATCCTCTTTAGTCCTCAACTAATGGTAGCCAGATCTTAAGTCTAACTTGAAGAACACTATTGCACCCTTCAACTAACCAAAAAAGTCATCAATCTTCGATAGTGGATAACTATTCCTTATCGTCACCTTATTCAGTTCTCTACAATCAATCCACACTCATAGAATTGTCCTTACTCCTAGAAAACAACACGGTGTATGAAACCATTTCCAGCAACCCTATAATTACTTGTGTAATTCCTTTATTTCAACATGTGTCATTCTATAAGGTGCATTTAAACGACAAGAAAGAACTATACCTCAAAACTCTTTATTTTCTTGGATGATTAGAGAACTCACAAAGACTCGAGAAGTAGTGGGATTTGATGGCTGGTTGTGGAAATCTCTTTGTGGTATTCTTGAACGTGAAAGAGAAGGAAGAGGGAGGGAGAATGAGGAATAGAGAGAGCGTAAAAATGTCGATAGAGAGAGGGAGATATTAGGCAACAAAGAGAAGAATAGCGTGAGGGTTTAAAAACATAGAATTTGTATGGGTCAATACGCATATGAAAATTATGAGCAATTAATCCAAAATAAATTTGGAATTAACTTCAATACTAATTGGCTTAAAACTAGGTGATTTATGGGCTGGCAATTGGCACAGAGATGTAAACGTGTGAAGCAATAAGTTTTTTTTTTTTCCCCCCCTTGCTCCCATGCACGCTTGTCACACCTTTCGCGTTGACTAAGGCCAAATTATAATTTAGGCAAGTCTAAATAAACTAAGAATGAACCTGCCCTCTTTCTATCTTGTCGTACGTGTGCATGAGCGTTTGCTTCTTATCGCGCCTAAGCTAAGTAAAGAAAGAACGTACATAATTTTACAACTAAATGAGGATATTAAGGGCTTTAGACAGCCCACACAAATCAATCACACCCACTCGTGCAAATAACTACGATTTATTTCCTTACATAATAGTATATCAAGCTTTTTTTATTTAAAAAAAAAACGGCGTCACATAACCTATTTATATTCAAACTAGACATGTATAATACATATTACACGTAACATTATAAATATGTACTCATATAGGTATATGTATTATATAAATATATATATATATATGTATGTGGGAAATTCTCTGGGAAATCCCCAGAAAATCATTGACTTTAGGCAGCAGTTGACATTAGGCAGCAGAGTTGACATTGTAATATATGTAATTATTAGGACAGATTTGACTTATGTAATTAGGGCAGATTTGATCTTGTAATTGGTGCAGTTTTATTGTTTTCCTAGCCTAGTTGTAACCGGCCCTAGCAGCCTATAATTGTACTCTCTTTTGCTGAATAATACAAGTTGAACAATTCACCTCAAACTTCATGGTATCAGAGTCAAGAGATCTGTAAAATGGCCGGAAAGGAAACCACTTCTTCATCTTCCTCATCTTCCTCTTCATCTATCACCAATCTTCAATATGGTGATAACTCTTCCCTTCAAATAACCAGTCACAAACTGAATGGAAAAAATTTCCTTCAATGGTCCCAATCCGTTCTTATGTTGCTTTGTGGGAAAGGCAAGATCGGCTACGTCAATGGCGAAATCAAGAAACCAAGCGCCGGATATGTTGATTACGCTGCAGAATGGGAATTAAACAACTCCATTGTGATGGCATGGCTAATTAACTCTATGGAAACGAGTATTAGCCACACATATCTTTTATTCTAAACCGTAAAAGCCATTTGGGAGGCGGTAAAGGATAATTACTCAGATTTTTAGAATGCTTCTCAAGTTTTTGAAATCAAGATGCAACTTAATGAGATTTGGCAAGGTAAACTTGGTGTTACAAGTTATTACAACTCACTAAAAATTCTATGGCAAGAGCTTGATCTATGAGGCCGACTGAGGTAATGTTGATGAGCATGTGAAATTCAAAGCATGTCTCGACAAGGAGCGTCTATATGACTTTCTTGCAGGACTCAACCGAGACCTTGTTGAAGTCCGAGGAAGGATTCTAGGAAGGAAGCCTCTTCTGACAATCAGCGAAGCCTTTGCTGAAGTCCGATGTGAGCAGAAGAGGCGGAGTGTGTTGTTGAGAGACTTCAAAGAAAGCGGACAAGTTACAATGGTGGGAGAGAAGCCGATTGAGACTACAACCTTGGCTGCGAATAGGACTGAGGGGAATGCTAAACCAAGCAAGCAGGGTGAAAGACTGTGGTGCAATCGTTGTAACAAGCAGGGTAAAAGGCTATAGTGCAATCTTGTCACCTGCAGGAGCAAGAAGCAATCAGTGGTAACTCGTAGTAGCACCGAGGCTGAGTTTCGGGCAGTTGCTCACAGTATCTGTGAGGGAATATGGATAACTCGGCTATTGAGGGAACTAAGAATACCACAAGAGAACCCCATAAAGCTGTACTACGACAACAAGCAACAATTAACATTGCTCATAATCCAGTGCATCATGACAGGACCAAACATGTGGAAATAGACATGCATTTCATCAAGGAGAAGATCGACAATGAGAGTGTTTATGTAGTCTACCTACCTACAAAACAAGTTGTCGATGTTCTAACCAAGAGTCTCTCAAACCTGGATTCATAGAGTTAACTAGCAAGCTAGGCCTGATCAATATCTATGCCAAGCTTGAGGGGGAATGTGGGAAATTCTCCAGGAAATCCCCGGGAACTCATTGACTTTAGGCAGCAGTTGCCATTAGGCAGCAGAGTTGACATTGTAATATATGTAATTATTAGGGTAAATTTGACTTATGTAATTAGGGCAGATTTGATCTTGTAATTAGTGTAGTTTTATTGTTTTTCCTAGCCTAGTTGTAACCGGCCCTAGCAGCCTATAAATGTACTCTTTTGCTCAATAATACAAGTTTAGCAATTCCCCTCAAACTTCAATATATATAATCTAGAGATAAAAATTAACAACCATCACATAAATTTATCACATCATCTCCTAATGGACTTATTCTTGCACCATGAGTCCTCGTCGCATTCACCTATGAAAATTAACTCACTTAACGTTAGGATAAACTAACTATAATACCATAACTATATCCATGTTAATTCGTAACTTATTCATAACAATATTGTTAGTTGGAATTTTGGGTGTTACATCTTACCTACAATACCTCACCATTTCAAAAATTTTAAAAAAAAACAAAGCAACACTACAATGTGACCCCATATTCAAATTAAACCTATAACGAGAACAATGAAAATAATTCAAACGTGTTGTCGATGAAATCCAAGAGAACAAAATAAAGAGTCCGTTGATAATAAAATATGGAAAGAAGAATCCAGAATAATTAAAATGTGCCGAGGATAAGCTTAAAGAACATAAATAGTTAAGAACTAACCTAAAAGAAGATTGGATTCTACGATCCCAACTACAATACCTCGCCATTCAAAAATACGAAAAAACAAAACAAAACAACGGTACAATGAATCACTGATCCAAATTAAACCCGTAACGAGAACAATAAAAATAATTAAACGCGTTGTCAATGAAATATAAGAGGAATGAAGTAAGGAGGCAACTAAAAATAACATATATAGAAAAAATAACAAATCTAAAATCAAGAAATTCAAAACCATAGTGATATGATTTTAGCATCGATGCATAACCTGGAAAAATGAGATCCAAAATAATTCAAAGGTGCCAAAGATATTGTGTTCTGTAATCGTAGCTACAATATCTCGCCATTTCAAAAATCAGAAGAACAAAGCAAGACTACAAGGAGATCTGCAATGAGAACAATAAAAATAATTTAAACGTGTTGTCGATGAAATTCAAGAGAAATGAAGCAAAGACGTCGCTGAAAGTAAATGATGGGGACAAAAATAGCAACCCGCAATTAATAACATTAAAACTATAGTTGTCCACTTTCAGCATCCATACATAACCTGTGAAAAGGACGATCAAGAATAATTAAAAGGTGTCAAAGATAAGTTTAAAAAGTATAATGCAAGGGAAATACCCATGTTATTTGGCGGGATTGAGTGACAGAGAATCTATATTGTTTGGGTTCAGTCTGAATCGAAAACCAATAAAACAGAAGATGGGAGATGAGTGTGAGTGAGTATTGCCCGCTTCTTCTCCTCATGTCAATTTCTATTCTTTTTTTTTATCTGCATCAAAGGGAAAGAGAGTTACATATGAGAAAATAAAAAATCCCAAGAGTTACAAATGAGAAAATCAAAAATCCCAAAAAAAAACTTTTTTTGTGTGAAAAGAACAATTTTATGGCAAAGAATCACATCCACACAACAATTACTCTGATAATGGTCTCTCTCACATGCCCGAATTGATGGCTCTTCGTTCATCCGAATGCATAGGTGGAGAGCACAAACAAAAGGTAGAGAGGTGAAACAAAAGCAAAGAGGAAAAAGTTGGAGGAGAAAAGAATGGGAAAAAAAAGACGACGTTAGAAAGGAAAGAGAAAAAACAAAAACAAAAAAAAAAAGGAAAAACTAGAGCACAAAAGGAATGAAGCTAGTCCTCAAACAATAAATAAAAAGAACTGAGATTTATCATAGAATAACCATAACCATTAATTCCATCTTTAGTGCAATGTTCCCTTCAATATTAAGTTGCTAAATAGTAAAATTCCAGCAAAAAAAAACTCTCATAATTTAAAGATTTAACTGAGTAAGATCTCTTAATTGATAAACTAAGAGAGAGAGAGAGACAAAAAAACTCACCATGGTTGAATGGACCCTCATGTGCTGTAGGAGCTAAGCCTGTTCATGACTCAGCCTGATTAGTGCCCAAAACCAACAAAATAAAACCAATAATAGAAAAGAGACACAAAAGAATTATGAGATAGATAAGGTAGCGACTCACCAAAAGAAGAGCATGAGAGGCATTTAAGATTAGGGCAAACAAAGATAGAAGATATCTAAAATGTCGAACATAATATTAGTTCCTCTAAAATCATGACAAAAGCACCCATAAGGATAAATAAACATCATCTAAAATCAAGTACTAGAAACCTGAAAGTTCTAAAATAAAAGTAAAAGATAGATAAAGGCACTATTCCAAAGGACATGAGTCACCAAAAGGAGGTTCATACTGTGGGAACATAGACTTCACAAATTTCTTAAGACTGTCAAACTCCATTTGTCAACGTGCATTCAAGTTGGTAAGGTTATCGATATGCATCTGCAAAGTCTTGAATCTTGAGCATTTGTTCCTGACTAGAGAAATAACCATTTGTTTCTCCTCCTTATCCCGATCATGTGCTAAGGACATTATTCATTATATCTTTTTCTGCCATTAGTGTGGGTTGTGTAGAGGTTTCCCTCAGCTACATCACTTGAATGGCCAGTTTGAGTTTGCAATCTATCATCTTGTGCTGTCAATTGAAAATGAACGAGTGAAAAGAAAAGCTAATGAATACTGAATTATAAAGAAACACAAAAAAATAAATAAATAAAAACTTGCATAATTCTCCTCTGGTACTGTCCCAGTCCAACCCTTAGTCTTGTGATGGCACATATCATGCTCCTTTGCTTTTTGCTGCAAAAGAACACAATCTTAATATTAGAGGTAGTGATATGTGTTATCTCTAATAATTCAAAGTCATGAAAGCAAAACCACCAAATGGAGCCAAGACACTATGCGAAATACTTCCTTTTCTCAAGGAGTGCCACTGCATAACATGTCCCAAAGAATGCCGTAAAAATGGTCAACAGAGATTGAGTTTTATCACAAGCATTAAAATGTCTGATTCTTAGATAAAAAATGCTGTAAAAATGGTCAGCAGAGATTGAGTTTTACCACAAGCATTAAAATGTCTGATCCTTACACGTCTTCTTTGCTTTAAAGTACTGCATATAATTAAATTCTTTAAATTGATATTGGGCAAGCTAAAAAATTGCATTAAACATAAAATAGGATACCAATCTACTCATTCTAATCACAAAATTCTGTCATACCAACCCATTTTTTTATTAATAAATGAATAGGAGAAAATCATAAATATGGGTCCAAAGAGTTGGTAAACTCCAATCACAAAGCACAGTCACAAGATTTTGCCCACTGGAAAATCTCATTTTCATCCATATTTCTTTTGTTACGGCCAAATAAAAGTCAAAAGAATATGCATGTGACTAAATAGCATTAGCAGATCATAACAACTACCTAAAGGAACATCAAAAGTGATTTTATACTTTATTCTCTATAAACTAAAGTGTATGTATGTATGTATATATAGATTAGTATGTGTGATTTATAACTTCTCATATACACATCATGCGTGAAATCAGCTTGGTTGAATATTTGAAACAAACTAAAGTGAAAGAGCAACTCAAAAAGACAAGAAATCACATAAACCATCATGGGGAGCTCTGTTTTTCTACTAATGATATAAATTTAAACACAACCATAGCAGATCAAAATGAAATACCTATCAAACATGTGAGAAGCAAATGATTTAGCTCCTTGAATGCTGATTCAAAGCATTGGTTGCTGATTTTTTCTGCAAAGTTAAAAAGGAGTTGTTACATAACCTATAAATCACATAAAAAAATGTATGAATGCTCTGAAGGTATTTACATAACTTACCTTATACTTTTCAGTCGACTAATAGTCACATAACGAATCCCAACCTGTCAGCACCAGAACCTATTTGTGTTTGTCTTTTTTGACTTCCTCTGGATTGTCCACACTTTTTTGTATGAAATATTTGTGCAGCCGACACCTCCAATCTTTCGATTGCTTGTTTAACAGACAGTCGATGGAATCTACTATCTTGGCTCTTTTTCTCAATCAGGCTCATTCCGTTTGAACTTATCCTAGATGAATAATGTTCAAGTATAAAACTATTGTTGGCCCACCTCCTAAGAGCTCCATTGTCCAACCCACACGTGAGGGGGAGTGTTAAAGTATAAAACTATTGTTGGCCCACCTCCTAAGAGCTTAAACTTTTGGGATGGATTGGTAAACTAACATGGTATCAGAGCGGGAGGTCCTGAGTTCAAACCCCCATAATTGCACTCTTTATCCCCATTTAAAATTGTCATCATGTGTCTCACACGTGAATATTTAAGCCCGAGATATATTAAAAACCCAACACATGACAATTTTTAAATGGGGATAAAGAGTGCAATTACGGGAGTTTGAACTCAGGAGCTCCCGCTCTGATACCATGTTAGTTTACCAATCCATCCCAAAAGCTTAAGCTCTTAGGAGGTGGGCCAACAATAATTTTATACTTTAACACTCCCCCTCACGTGTGGGTTGGACAATGGAGCTATTAGGAGGTGGGCCAACAATAGTTTTATAGTTTAACACTCCCCCTCACATGTGGGCTGGACAATGGGCAATCGTGTGGGTAAATTAATTGGAAAGCCCAACACGTGAATATTTAAACCCGAAATATATTAAAGACCCAACATATAATGACAATGTTAAATGGGGATAAAGAGTGCAATTATGGGGGTTTGAACTCAGGACCTCCCGCTCTGATACTATGTTAGTTTACCAATCCATCCCAAAAGTTTAAGCTCTTACGAGGTGGGCCAACAATAGTTTTATACTTTAACAAATAATATCCAAAATGGGACTATAATTCAACAAGACTTTCTGTCGAAAGAAATTAGGTGGTTCTATATTATTACCTTGAGTCTAGCATCACCACTTTGTTTGGTTGTCGAATATCCCTCCAAGCCTTGACTTGGAGCAGGGTCATGTGGCGCGCAATCCAACCTACCAACCTAACTCAGATGACCACCTTTCGCCTACTTTTTCTACCCCTTTATATGTATTAGGAAAAATTCTGGAGTCATATTTCCAGAGCAACTAACAATTCTGTCATTTGCCATACGTGTTTCTCCTCGAGCATGTCTTGTTGTTGTAATAATTGAAAAATAATAATAATCAGCAGTCATCAAAATAATAAAAAGAGAGTACATTGTTCTTACAATCTTATTTTTACTTGTAGAGTTGGCAGCCATTGTGGGTGCAGAGTAGAATCAAGGGCAGCCACAATATTTCTCTTATTAGCAATGAAATACGCAAGTTAAGAAACTATATATTTATTACTAACAATGAAAGAAGCAAGGTATGAAGTAATTTATATAATTAACAAGTTAAAGAAGAACAATTGACTTAAACAAAAAATAAACAACTGACTTAACATAAATTCAGCAATGCTACAACATAAATCATGACAAAATCTTCTGTATCACTTGCATTTTCCATCATCAACATAATTTTGAGCTCTTTCAAGAAATGTTGCAACCCCGTCCATGTACTCATCCGACAAACGATTGGACAATATAATCCACCTCTTGTCAATTGACATGTTTCCTAATCACCAAATTTAATGAAATTAAGATAACAAATATCTTAAAACCATAATGATAAACATGTTAAGAGTTTTAAGGTATAGCATAATATTAAACAAACAGAGAAAAGGAAACAAACAAGCAAGAAGTCATGAACACATTAAAGATTTATACAAGCAAAGACAGAGAAAAGGAAAATGAATCACAACTGATTGTACAATGAAAACTTTCAATTCATACAGCAATAAACATGTTGGAATAAAACATAGCAACACGGAGCAATAGCACAATACATGAATTAATTAGAAAGAGGTTCACATAAACCTAAGACCTGCAGCAATTATCAAAAACGGATTATCAAAAATAGTGAAGCTCTGTAAACCAACTGTCAATTGAATAAATAATCTGGATTCTTGAGATATAACAGCAGAAACTCAACAATCAAAAGATTGCAGTGTAAACAATTAGGATGAATGGTTGAATTCGGGTGCATCTATGCCGGGTATTGCCGTTGGCAACGCAAGTCTCGCAGTGCAACCCTGTGTCACAGCCATTGTCCTTCAACCATGTCTGCCCAATAGTGAGAGTTGATGTTGAGGTGACCATCGGACACAGTGAATCAGCAAAAGAAGGAATGCCCGTTGGGGAGATTGATGGGTTTACTTGTGTCTCTAAGGTTGCTTATTATTTTAACTAATCAAATACTCTCTAGGTTCTTCAACCAATGAAATCCCAAACAATACCAAATACGTCAAGGCTTTTCAAATTCTCACAAGACAAGGAAGAAGGAATTCAAAACCACCTAGTTTCCCTCCTATTTTGTGGCTTTCCCTCGGAGAACGAAGGCATACAATTTGAATGAATTGAAAAAAAAAATCCCTATTTCAAACTCAACCAAATTCAAATCAAACCCTAATTTTACTATCCATATTCAAAAATGCACTTCATTTTTTCCTTCCTTTTGGTTCCTCTTGATAGATACATATCTTTGGGGCAAAAAAAGTGAGTCCTTATGATGAAAACCAACATAAGATAGCATATTTCTCATGAAAACAACAACAACAACAACAACAAAAGTCATTTAAGCTAGAAAAGCCTATACTAGCAAACAAAATTCTCAAAATAAGTTACTAACTACACCTTTGATATCACTTTCAGTTTTTGTTTTCTGAGTTAAAAGTGAAACATCTCAAGCCAAACTTTGAAAAGATCTTCTCTCTTTCTTGTTTCACTTTTTGTTGATGAGAAAACAAAAATCGTAAAAATTATCAAACAAGTTCAATTTTAATAAGGGTTACATTCATACATAATATTCGCAATATTTTACAAATCCACTTTAATGTTTTACGAATCGTGTCAAAATTGTCTCCTACATTTTACAAATCAAGTTAAAAATCTTTCCCATAATTCTTGTTGAAAATCTTGGAAGAGGATATACGTTTCTGATAAATTGGGATAAACATAAAAGAACAAAGGAGATTTTTGTTACTATCCTCAAAATCCAATAATCACTAAAA